CTCCCACAATAATCTGGTAGCTTATAATTGCCAGCATGTTGAGCGGACTGATCACATGACCGAGATGTTCACAGGACCTGGTGGCAGAGAAGTGTGGCGAGTACTTCGAGCGTTTCCGCCGCCAGACGTTTGTGACGCCAAAGTCCTACCTGTCCTTCATCGACAGCTACAAGCTGGTCTACACGGAGAAGATCGCTCACGTCGGCACGCTGGCCGAGCGCATGCAGACAGGTGAGCATGGTTTGATGGGAGGGGCTAAACCGTCCTGTACTTCCTGTCTCAGGTGGAGAGGCGAGCTGATGCTGCGCATGCTTGTGATGCTTCCTGCAGGTCTGTGTAAACTGATGGAGGCGGAGCAGTCGGTGTCTCAGCTCTCTGAGGAGCTGCTGGTGAAGGAGAAGGAGCTCGCCGTCGCCTCCCAGAGGGCAGACCAGGTCCTGCAGGAGGTCACGGCCAAAGCTCAGGCTGCCGAAAAGGTGAAAAAACATGTTTTCTGTTAGCGAGCGAGACCGCAGGTCAACAGCGACGAGTCTGAAAGGTTTATTAGTCTGTTATGAAACACAAAGCTAACGTGAAGGAGCCTCAGACGCTGTTTGTCATCATGTTACTGAACAGAAGTGCAGAGCGAACGAGGAACAACATGTGAAACGTTGAGTGATGGTCACAGATGTCTGACTCTGGGGTAAACCTCTGACGTCCTCAGTTTGTGCTGCACAGTCTTTATTGGCATTTTTCTTTTAATCACATGTAAACCGGGAGCTTTACAAGTGGGTGGAGTCAGCTAGCTGTGAATCACACAAACGCATGTTTAATGCCCCGCTCTGTGCTTACAGGTGAAGCAGCAGGTGCAGAAGGTGAAGGATAAAGCTCAGCTCATCGTGGACGAGATCGAAGCCGATAAAATGGCAGCAGAGTCCAAACTGGAGGCTGCGAAACCGGCTCTGCAGGCTGCTGAGGCTGCCCTACAGGTTACACTCAGTCCTCCATTGTATTTACATGTCCTCCACAGAGCGCTCAGGTCAGAGCAAAGTAAGCGTCATCAGCAGATGGCGAGCGGCCGTGTGTCCGTCTGTTTGCTGTGACCACGTGGACTCGTCCACTGAGTCTTTACATGACTTTACACGAGCTTCAGGTGGGCGACAACAGAAGAGTCAAAGCTTCACTGGCTTCAATTTGACTCAAACTAAAATAAAAACTGAAATAAAAGAAGAAGACGATCACAGAGAAACAATCTTAGCTGAAACGTCCGTGTGTGCTCACAGGTTTGAGGCCGTGTTCACTCATGTGCACACTCAGAGTGTCTGCATGACAGTAACTAGAGCTGGTCCTGTGACACCTGCTCACAGCTACATCTGTGTTACAATAATAATACAAAGAATAAGAAGCAGCTGAAACTGTCCGTCCATGTTCTGCTGCTTCTCAGCAGCCACCTCCAAACCAGAGCAGCACCTGCATCCCTCAGGTGATGGAGCAGGCCGCCTCCGTCCACATGTTGAACGATGCTTAATGATAGAGTGTGTGATTGTGTCAGTGAGACTGGTCACCAGTGTCAGGTTCAGTGGTGCAGTGTGTACTGGGTGGTAGTCCCACGGTGGAGGGCCCAGTGGACCGCTCTGAAACGAAGCTGCTAAAATCTGAACTGTAAAGTAAAAGCATGTGAACCTCAGAGATCATCAAAGCTGCTGCAGACAAACAACAAGCGTTAAACGACCTGCCTGCATGTTTCTGCGACACGCTGTCCTCCTGTGATCGGAGTGAAGCTCAGACTCACATGTTGTCGCTGTGTGCTGTTTGCTCGTCATCATCATGTGTCACGTGTTCAGCCTCAGAGTTTGTCTCTGTGTGCAGACCATCAAACCAGCAGACATCTCCACGGTGAGGAAGCTGCAGAAGCCTCCTCA